CAAACTATTTGCTGAGAGGCATGTAGAAGAATAAATAGAATTAGTTTTTTTACCACAAGTTTTTGGAAAATGACCAAAAAATTTTTTTTTTTTTTTTTTTTTTTTTTTTTTTTTTTTTTCTTTTTTTACACAAAATTGTCACTTAAATGATTTACTGCTCACACATGCCATGGGTATATGTGGAATTACTCCCCAAAATACATTCTGCTACTTTTCCCGAGTATGGGGGTACCACATGTGAGAGACCTTTTGGCAGTCTAGCCAAGTACAAGACCCCAAAATTCGATAAGCACCTTCAGGCTTTTAAAGGGCTTTATTTCCTCATTACATTTCCAGACTACCTATCACAGTTTCGGAGGCCCTGATATGCCAGGATAGCACCTAACATCCCCCCCAAATGACCCCTTTTTGCAAAGTAGACACTCCAAGGAATTTGATAAGAAGCATGGTAAGTATTTTGCAGATTTCATTTGTAGTATCTATGCCATAGTTTCTAGACGCTATAACTTTCACACAAAGCAATTAATATACACTTATTGGGATTTTTTTTACCACAAACATGTAGCAGAATGCATTTTGGCCTAAATTTATAAATAACTTTGTGTTTACTATATATTTTTCATAGCTGATAGTAAAAAATATAGTTTCTCTTCAAAATTTTTGTTCTTTTTTTTGTTTATAGCGTGAAAAATAAAAAGCGCACAGGTGATCAAATACCACCAAAAGAAAGCTCTATTTATGTGAAAAAAAGGACATAAATTTTGTTTGGGTGCAGCATTGCATGACCGCGCAATTATCAGTTGAATTCGTGCAGCGCCAAGTAGCAAAAAGAGGCCTGGTCAGGAAGGGAGGTAAATGCTCAGGAGGGCATGTGGTTAATGCAGTGATCCCTAGTGGTCTGGTGAAGTTAGTGAATCATGTCTATCTTGGCTGAGTGGTTGCCACACCCCCAGAACTGTGAGATTTTGTGAGAGGACTCTTGCTTCTCCAATGCCCTACTGTTAAATCCACAAATACATCTGGCCCAATTAAATGCTGGTAGAGTAGCAAAAACTACTTCTGACATTGAATTATCTCTGTAATGCTGAAAAAACAAAATTTACCTGTTTTCCCTATTGGCAAAATTCTTTTGTACAAGAATGTATGAAGTGTGTACAAGTTCATATACTCTGTTATAAATGGTCACTTAATCTAATAAACCCCTTATATCTCCATAAAGATGTCTCCATAAAAAAAGGCTGGTCAGCCCTCTTGCCATAGTAGTGAAATGTAGCTAAAGTTTAATGTTGTGAAGGCGCTCTTGAAATGGTTTTTGCATTTTTTAAGTATATGTGAGCCATCACCTTGTAAAACAACCCATTTGGTTTAAAATAGAAATGAAAGGCAAAAAGGGTGTGTGTGTGTGTGTGTGTGTGTGTGTGTGTGTGTGTGTGTGTGTGTGTGCTCTCGAATATACACATTATAAATACCTTTTTGCTCTTATGATCATTGATGGACACTGTGATGGGCACGGCGTCAGACCCCAGCCCTTCACCAACTTGTGACCGAAAGACTAGCCAATCTAAAACCGTGCTGCCACTTGCGTAACAATGCCACTCTCAGCTGCACCCTGCACAAAGATTTTCCAGCTCACTGGACCAGGACCACAATCTATGTGCCAACAGCCTGAGAGCGATTGTTTACTGGGTCAGGTTAATTACGCAATTAACCCTTCACACTGCCACCGCCACCTTTTTACAGAGAAGGAGGAAACTCCCAAATCTTAGCAGTAACACTATGATGTTTGAATAAGCGTCTGTATACACACTGTCACCGCAGACAGATGTATCCAGAAGTTTTAAAACACACAGTAGCACTCTACATAGACAGGGATTCTTAGTTTGCATTAAAGAGCTTTAGAAACAGTTCACTTTTCAGAAAATAGGATTTATTACTAAAAAGGTCAAAATGGTGCAATAAAAATATTTACAGAAAAGATGTAATGATATAGAGAGAGAGAGAGATAGCAATAACACAACAGAGCGATAAAGGAAGAAGTTTTAAGAAGGTAGAATACTTGCAGAAGTCCTGGTTTAAGCAGAGTCCACGGGTCCTGAACAAAAGGGTTCCTTTTCTCCCAAAGTTGGTTCCTGATGTTAAAAGGGAGAATCTCTTCATCTCCCTCTCCAGGCATGACAGCCTTTTTTCTAGGAACCCAGCAGGGTGTCTCCTAAAGCAGAGAACCAATCGCCTCATTTGGGGAGGGGAGTTTAGGCGGGGACTCAGGCTATGACCAAATCCCTCCCATGTTTATACCATGTCCAATAGCCTTTACTAGGTACATGTAGCAGCCTAGCCACTAGTAGATTAATATGCAGAATGATATCCTGAACGTCCAGACATCAAATATGACATATCTTACCATTCCAGATAACGACATATTGTTTTCTACTCTTGTGTAGGTGCTACATAGGGGTGTAATGTGTCAGGTGACTCGCATTAAACTGACCTATCTGAATATATGCTTTGTTTTATTGTACCTTGCTCCTGTCTGGATTTATGAATTTGTATGAAAAAGTGGTTTCAAGTGGGTTGAATGTTTTACTGCCATTCTGGAATGCTTTTCATGTCCAGTAACGGACTGATTTATAGCTTTACGACCAAGGCAAGGGTCTGACAGACATCGTAGAACCAGCTAATTGGGTTTAAAACCATGAAGCGTATCCAGCTGTACCCTGTGCACTCCTGAACTCGGCACACACACACAGACCACACTCCTTGCAAGGGGAGGGGGGCTGGAGGGAAAGAGAATATTTGCAGAGTATGATACAAGATGGTAGATCTTTAACAAAATGGTTGTCCACGTCCAATCTGTGCACACAACCATCACAGACACAACTTCTTTATTCTTGACCAGAGGGTTTATAGTGCAACCTACAGGACGCTAGACAAAAAGAAAAGAACACAGCACCGCCTATAGGAAGTCCTAGCTGGTATAAACCCCCTCTCTGCTATGGAAAACCAGTTATTTCTGCCTAGTGTTCAGGAGTGCTGGTACCCGTGGTTCCATAGTTGTTGTGGTGTTTTTTTTTTTTGCCTGGAATTTTTTCTTTCAGTGGAGATCTTCAATCAAAAACCAGGCTGGGTTGCAGGCTGGTTAATCTAGATCCAGTACCACAACCTGGCCAGCGAGCACAAACTGACCTCAAGCTACAGGAAGAGGGCCACCTTGCCTCTTAGTTCCGGTGGAATGTTGAGGTTTGTTGTGCCTGGCGGGGACGTACGGCTGTGTCAGGAATGGACTTGCCAATAGTGGTGGGACTCACGTGCCTTGTGGGCTGCAGTACCAGGGTTGGCCAGCGGGTGCTCTCAACAACCAGAGGTTCACTTCGGCAATTAGCCATCACCTGGGGCTGATTGCAGGTGTATTTAAGGGATGGCCAGACCTGCAGTCTGTGCCTTGGTGTGTGTTTTTCCATGGGCCCCTGTATCTTTTAACCTGCGTTCCTGTTCCTGTTTCTGCCTCTGCCTCTGCCTGACTTGCTGCCGACCCTGCCTGATCCTGACCTCTGCTGACTTCTCCTGTTTTGATCCCTGGCTTGTGACCCTGACCATTCTCTCCGCCTGCTCCTCCTGTACCTACCTGCCCGATAGTTATCGACCCGGCTTGCCTGACTACGTTGTGCTCTATATATGTATGTACCTGTGTATCTGTATCAGTTTAGGTTTGGGTTTGTTTCACCTTGTTGTATGTATTTGTGCTAGCTTGGGGTTTGGTGCGCTGCGTTTATGTTTGTATTGTTAGTCTTTAATAAATTGTCTTATTTATACCATATCTGAAGCTTGCGTTTCCCTGTGTCAGTCCACACACTTCTGGTCACACCCGCATCCCTGACATTACACCCAGGCCACAACCTGACCAGAAGTGGCTGCACAGGGAGGCCATCTTGGCTTCTTGTTGCTGGGAAGGATGGATCTTGATGAGGTGGTGTATTTATCTCTGCTAGTGTTTGATGACAAAGACTATGCTTATCAGACTCTTAAGGAGTATACCCGGGATCAACTGCTAGAGTGTATAAGGACCGCTCATTGTCTAGTTGATCAGGGCACAGTTTTCTGAGGTGCAGCCATTGATCCAGGTTTGTGCTGAGTTGGCTCGGTCCTGTACCCCTGAAAGCAGGGATGACTTTTTCCCCCCATTTAGTGTGGATCAAGTGGAATCACTGGTATGGTTGTTGGAGGATGATCCAGATTGTTTCCATGAGCACTATGCAGCATGTCCATCACATGTGCTTATGGATTGCATAAACGCAGTGCAGTCTTTGATCAGACGGGCTAGGTGTAAGCTGAGTTTTGTTAAACCAGTACTGCAGACATGGACAGATTTGTTACACCCAGCCTCAGTCGGCTTGCAACATCATTCCTCTGCTCAAGGCACTCTTCCTGCATCCCCGACAGCACCCCCAGTGATGGCCCAGTATACTCTGCTAACTACCACATACCAGTCCCCTGCTCCCACTCGCTGCACCTATCCTTTCTTCAACCCTGTAAAGAAGTCCTCTGTAGCAACTGCTCCCTCCTCTGTTCCATCCTCCAGCTCTTCTCTGTCTCCAGCTGCTCCATCCGTTTACAAACCTGCGCTTACTTACAGTGCTCCTGTAACTAAAACCAGGAAAAGGCGAAAGTTCTTTCCAACCAATACCATCCTGCCAGTATCCAAACCGGTCAGCCTCCCATCTGAGAACCTGCCTTCCGTGGTGCAGCCTGGTGCCTCTGCGCCCACAATTCGGCCTGATGTCTCTACCCAGCCTGATGTCTCTACCCAGCCTGATGTCTCTACCCAGCCTGATGATCCTATTTTGCCAGTTGACTCGATGCCCGCTGTTCCGCCAGTTGACTCGGTGCCTGCAGTCTTGCCAGACGATCCTATTTTGCCAGTTGACTCGGTGCCCGCTGTTCCGCCACTTGACTCGGTGCCCGCAGTCTTGCCAGACGACTCGGTGCCCGCAGTCTTGCCAGACGATCCAATGCCTGATGACCCAGTGCCCACTGTGATGCCTGGTGACCCGATGCCCGCTGTCGTGCCTGACGATCCAATGTCTGATGACCCGGTGCCCGCTGTCGTACCTGCTGACCCGGTGCCCGCTGTCGTACCTGCTGACCCGGTGCCCGCTGTCGTACCTGCTGACCCGGTGCCCGCTGTCGTACCTGCTGACCCGGTGCCCGCTGTCGTACCTGCTGACCCGGTGCCCGCTGTCGTACCTGCTGACCCGGTGCCCGCTGTCGTACCTGCTGACCCGGTGCCCGCTGTCGTACCTGCTGACCCGGTGCCCGCTGTCGAGCCAGATGGCCCGGTGCTGCCGCCCTGCCTGGTGCCCGGTGCCTGCCGCCCCGCCTGATGGCCCGGTGCCTGCCGCCCTGCCTGGTTGCCCGGTGCCTGCCGCCCCGCCTGGTGGCCCGGTGCCTGCCGCCCCGCCTGGTTGCCCGGTGCCTGCCGCCCCGCCTGGTGGCCCGGTGCCTGCCGCCCCGCCTGGTGGCCCGGTGCCTGCCGCCCCGCCTGGTGGCCCGGTGCCTGCCGCCCCGCCTGGTGGCCCGTTGCCCGCCGCTCCGCCTGGTGGCCCGTTGCCCCCGCCGCTCCGCCTGGTGATCCGGCGCCCAGCCCGACGTGCCTCCGTCCGGCGCCCAGCCCGACGTGCCTCCGTCCGGCGCCCAGCCCGACGTGCCTCCGTCCGGCGCCCAGCCCGATGTGCCAGTCTTTGATATCCCGCCAGTCACCGGACCCGGGCGGTGGAACATTTTGCCCAGCTAGGACTGTTTGGAGGGTCCTGAGGCCGCTCCTTGAGTGGGGGGTACTGTCAGGAATGGACTTGCCAATAGTGGTGGGACTCACCTGCCTTGTGGGCTGCAGTACCAGGGCTGGCCAGCGGGTGCTCTCAACAACCAGAGGTTCACTTCGGCAATTAGCCATCACCTGGGGCTGATTGCAGGTGTATTTAATGGATGGCCAGACCTGCAGTCTGTGCCTTGGTGTGTGTTTTTCCATGGGCCCCTGTATCTTTTAACCTGCGTTCCTGTTTCTGCCTCTGCCTGACTTGTTGCCGACCCTGCTGATCCTGACCTCTGCTGACTTCTCCTGTTTTGATCCCCTGATCCTGACCTCTGCTGACTTCTCCTGTTTTGATCCCTGGCTTGTGACCCTGACCATTCTCTCCACCTGCTCCTCCTGTACCTACCTGCCCGATAGTTATCGACCCGGCTTGCCTGACTACGTTGTGCTCTATATGTGTATGTACCTGTGTATCGGTTTTAGGTTTGGATTTGTTTCACCTTGTTGTATGTATTTGTGTTAGCTTGGGGTTTGGTGCACTGCGTTTGTTTGTATTGTTAGTCTTTAATAAATTGTCTTATTTATACCATATCTGAAGCTTGCGTTTCCCTGTGTCAGTCCACACACTTCTGGTCACACCCGCATCCCTGACAGGCTGCCATGTGAAGTAGCATTGGTCATGTTTGCTGTGTCCTGGGAATCTCAGCAGTGGTCATTTTTTGTTGGTCCCTCCATGCTGGCATGGTGCGGTGTCTGGGGACCTGAGACTGCTAATGTGTTGGAGTTCACTCGGCAGCCATTTTTCTGGCCATTTTGGGAACCTCTGGTGCTCTTCTAAGTGATTCCTGGGGACGATTTCCCTGTTGGCACACTGGTACACATGAAAAGGAGGAAGTCGCGTGTCAGTGTGAAGCAACGCGTCGGTACACGAGGAGGTATTTCCGGGAGCGCGATGACGTCACTTCCGGCGTGGGGGCCATATTTGAAATCCCTGTATTAATACCCATGCAATACATCCATAGCATGAGGTAAAGAGCTGTGTTAAAGCAGAAATAACAAGTGAGTGGGCATTTTTCTCCTTACTGTTTACCAAATAAATATACGGTTTTACACTATGGAGGTTTTTGTTTGTATATGATCCGGAGGTTGTGGCTGACAGAGTTGTGTATATCAGAGGACCTGGGAGTGGATGTGAACAGGATCCAGAGGCCATTCAGAGGGGTTCTGATTCTCAGAGCGAGCTGACCCTGTGTGGTCGATTTAAGGAGGTGAGGGGGCACTTCGGCTAATTGAGGAATTGCACAGAGTGAGCACCTGATAGCACTTGCATGGACATTATTACTTGTGCACTTTTTATGGACATTTGACGTGTTGTGTTGTTGTGTTGATTTTATTCACAGCAGAGTGTTTATTTGATGGTTTTGGTTTTGAGTGTTGATATAACACGGATCACATTCACATATATTTTTTATATTTCCAGTGGGAATATATATGCTGCACTTTTAATAGTTTACTTTGTACACTGGAGAGTTTTGTATTAATTGGGAGATATATATATTATTTTTTCACATTCAAAGCGCTGCACTGTTCTATATATATTTATACACTGGTACACATGGCCCCCCTCCTTGGAGATGCAACCACTTTCTTCTGAGGTGAACCTTGGTGTACCCTGCCCTCCTCTGCGACCGGGTTTGTGATGGTGAATCCTATTGGTGTACCCTCCCTCTTTGCTGCAGCCGATTAGGGGTGGTTTTTGGTACTCCCCCACCCCTTTTGGCAACATTCTAGGAACATGCATTCATAAGAAGACATGGTCTTCCAAACTAGTCAAACCTGGAGCTAAAACCTCTGTACAATGATGGGGTGGGGTGACATCTGTTGGCCATCTGGTCTCAGAACATTCTAGATGCCTGAATCTATGGTTTACACCGTGTGCAAAATTATTAGGGAAGTGAGTATTTTGATCAAATCATCCTTTAAAATAGAAAATTAGATAAACGCCATAAACATTAAATGGCCTGTGTAAACAAAAAATATTCTATCCCATAAGAGAGATACAAAACGATCATTTGCTAGTATGGTCTCAGTCCTGATGAAGCAAATGAGTAGGACCTTGGTAATCCAAAGGGTAAGTCTGTAGAAGTTCAGAGGTGTGAACTCCGAGGGACATTGTAGATACATGAAACCATTAGTCAAAATCTCTAACTTGTCGAGCTTTCGTGCTATCTAATGGCTACTGGTCATGGAAATGTACATCAGTGTTTTGTGTTTTTTTTTTTTTTTTTTTTTTTTTTTTTTTTTTAGTAGATAAGTTATCAGAGAAGGGAAAATAAATGAAGAGTAGAGGGAAAGAAAAAAAAAAGAGGGGGGTGCGTAGAGGGGGTAAGAGCTGGAATTGTGGAGGGGGGAGACTAGGGAGGAGATCAGCCGAAGTTGCATATGGTGTGAAGTTGGACATAACTGCAGAGGCAAGAATGGTAGGATGATAATTCAGGCGTATTGAGAGTAGTCATCAGAGAAACAAAACTGATCCCAGATCTGATGTTTCCTCCGATTTCCCCCCCCCCCCCCCCCCCCCCCGAATAGCAGAGGTCAATGACTCCATCTTCTCAATATCGTTCACATTGGCAAACCATTGGGCCAAGGTCAGGGAAGACCGCTGCTTCCACATAGCCGGAATACAGGCTCTAGCTGCGTTGAGTAGATGTTTAAGCAGAGATTTGTCGTATTTTTTCTTTGAAAGAAGAGTCAGGTTGAGGAGGACTGCTCCTGGGTCATCAAACAGGGAAATGTCCATGAATATATGTATAAATTGAAGGACTTGCTGCCAGAATGGACTAATCTCCAGACATTCCCAGAAGATGTGAAGAAGTGTACCTGCATGGGTGCCACATCTCCAACACCGGTTAGTCTCCTGCACCATCTGGTCACTATTTTATGGGTTGTTTCCTGGTTCTTGCTGCACAATGAGGATTTGAGCAAAAAAAGAGGATCCGATCCTTTTTGGGGGTCAGAGAAAGTGGTTTGTAAATCTTTCCCATTTTGCAAGAAACAGAGGGTCAGACCGTGGTTTGGATAGGGTGCTTATGAAGTGTGATAACTGAAGGGCCCGCCAGTGTTTTTTTTTTTTTTTTTTTATAAATATTTATTAATTTTCCAAACAGGTACAAATCACAATCATTTTCTCCTTTCTCAAAAGGAAGAAAAAAAAAAGACATAAAATCAATATCTTCCTATTAACATAATTTATCTATTTCCCACATCCCCAACCACCCCATCCCTTCCCCTCCCAACCCCCACCCACACAACTGCCCTCCCCCCCCATCCCACTCTGCATTTCTCTTCAAACCCAAAAAACTCTTTCTACAATCCATATTTGTTTCAAGGGGTATAAATCATCATCATATATTTCACTTTTTCTCTATACTCTTCCCATTTTTTCCACTTTATATAATACTTCTCCATCTTATCTATATGCGTATAATACAATCTTTCCATCCCACAAATCTGATTCATTCGGACCATCCAATCCTCCTCTGTCGGCACCTCCCTTTGTTTCCAGAACCTAGGTATCAGACTCTTCGCTGCGCTCAGGAAATGCCAAATCCCTGAATCCTTGTATGATCTCACTGAGAGCTTGGTGATATGGAGAAGACATAACTCTGGATCCGATCTAATATCTATCTCAGTAATTTCTCTTATTAAATAAATAATTTTATTCCAAAACACCTGTATCTTTGAGCACTCCCACCATATGTGATCTATCGTACCCACTTCTCCACACCCTCTCCAACACAGTGGTGAAGTTTCCCCATTCAATTTGTGTTCCACATTCGGTGTAATGTGCCATCTAACCAAACACTTATAATTCAACTCAACTTCCCGCATGCTAAAATTTTCATGTATTAATCTAAACATTTTCCTCTGCTGCTCTTCATCTATTTCCCTTCCCATATCTTTTTCCCATTTCTCTACATAAATTAATTTTGTGCCCGTGTCTAATTCAGTTAATATTCTGTATATTTTTGCAACACCGTGTCTCCCATCTCCCCGTGTTTCTAGTAATCTTTCAAATAAATTCCACTCCTTTCTAGTTCTCACGGATTTTGGGAGGCTCCCAAAGAAATGTTTCAATTGATAATATCGTATCTCATCCATTTTACTGAAAACCTCCCCCCTTTTTTTTTTCTCCAGCTCTCTATATGTTCCTATTTCCTCACCCACCATTATGTCTCTTAATTGCGCATCCTGTTTTATAATCCATTTCCCTGTGATATCTTCTTTCCCAGGAGCAAAATAATCTGTATTTCTTAGTGGCATTAACTGTGAATTTAAAACCCATCCCTTTTTGTCTATGTAACATTTCCCAACCATAAAAGTGTAGACACTTGTATTAACATCTAATCCTGTATATCGTGCAGGTACCCATATAATCCTACTTAAATTTGTCCTACTCAGTGTGTTTTTCAATTTTGACCCAGCTTTTCCCTGAGTTATGAGTCCAGTCATAAATTCTCGCAATAATCACCGCTCTATAATATCTCTTAAAATCTGGGAGTCCTAGACCGCCTCTCTTTAGTTCTAATCAACATTTCATATCGTATTCTAGGTTTTTTTATTCCTCTATATATATCTCAACATCATTTTTCTAAGTGTTTTAAAAAAAACCTC